AGAAGCTGGACGAACAACTGAAAGAGATTCCGATCGGAATTTTAGGTAACTTTTTCTTTTATTGCGAAGTATTTCACAAAACATTTTCATTTCATTCGAACCCTGATAGAGATCTGATTAAAAGCAACCGAATGTTCCTTCGATTACAGTTTCAATAATTTAGTCCATCAAAATATCTATTTCCCTAACGATCTGCGGTCTGATTATAATTTTCTCTACTTATAGAAATTGATTGTATTAGTTGTACGCATAAATAAAAAATTCTCGATGTTACTAACACTAGATAAACCTGAGAAACTTTTGAAAATTTACAAATTTATAAATTAACTAATTTCTTCACTTTCAAATCGTAATATAATTGCAAATGATCCGAAACACTGTATTGTTATAACATTCTAATCATCGTTATAAGAGTGTACTGACAAGTCATTTTTACGACCATATTTCGCGCAACCAATACGTCTCGCGTAGACGGCTGGTTTATTGATCGTTGCCGCGCTTTGTTCCAGTGAACAACGTCGGTATGCAGTACCCCTATCCGATGTTCGTCGGCGAGGTCCCAGAATCCGTACTGTGGAACATCGTTAACGTAAACGTTGGCGCTACTACGCTGATGACGCGATTGATCATCGGGCAAATGCAAAAGCGTGGAAAGGGCGCGATCGTGAACATATCGTCCGGATCGGAAATGCAACCGTTGCCGTTAATGACCGTATACGCGGCGTCGAAAGTCTACATAAAGAGCTTCTCGGAGGCCCTGCGGGCCGAATACTCCAGATTCGGATTGACCATCCAACACCTGACCCCGTTTTTCGTGAGCACGAAGATGAACGCGTTCAGCGATCGACTGCAGGTGACATAAAGACGTACACATATATGTACAAGATGAGCCCAAATAGCATGTACGATGTGATTCCTTATGAGAAAATAAGAACAAAATATAGAATAAAATTTGATCATTGATGGCTTAGTTTTCGAGAAAATAGGCTTTGAAAATCTGCTAGATACGGGGGCAATTGAATACGACTGGGCTAGCGCGTCTGTTCATTGGATTCCGTTTCTACTTACTACTATGGTGAATACACGTGTTTCAGATTAATTTTCGAAGTCGATTTTCTCGAGAACTAAGCCTTAAATGGAAAAATTTTATTCCATACTTTGTTCTTATTTTTTCATAAGGAATCATTTCGTACCCGCTTGTACATGTTATTCGGCCGCACCCTGTATATAAATATGTACACGCGATCCCGGAAACGAATCATTCCTAACGTATATGATTAATTGCAGGGATCGAGATTTTTTGTGCCGAATGCGACGACTTATGCAAAAAACGCGATCAACACCCTCGGTAAAGTAAACACGACCACTGGCTACTGGACCCATGGGATCCAGAAGATGTTCACTATGATACCGCCAGTGACCGTCAGAACGAAGATTGGATTATTTTTAAATGAGAGTTTGAGGCAGGATTACTTCAAGCAAAAAAGATCTAGTTGAAAGCAAACTGAAACAACTTAGTGCGCGTGTTCCCTTACGGTTAAAGTAAGATTCTACTGATTATCGATACCATTTGTGATTAATTTAATGTAGATAAAAATGTTTTTAACACTCTGTTGCGCAAGAATATGTAATATAGGAAAGAGACTCGTCCACACTTATTGTCTTAATATTAATGTTGCGGTACAACGTTCTTTTTTTTTGTCACATGAGGAATACTCTGCTGTTTAATGTTTGTATAAAACGCTAAATCTGTGAACAATTTATTTGGTAATCCACACGTGGTTTCTCTTTAACTGCTCGATGAAATCGATCCTACCATCGGCAACTTTCGAATGTTTGCATTACAACACACTTTGCACTCGATTTAGTATAAATACATTTATTTACTGTTCATAATATTCGTATGGAATGTTTCTTTTTTAACGTATCCATGAATTTCTGCGCGAGAAAGTAGAACGCGTGGCGATCGCGGCCTCACGGGATTTGAACTTTCACGGGGTCTGCGCAGAAGATCCATGAAATCGGTCCGAACTGAGCACCCTTGCGTACGCATTCCCAGATCACGTGACCCCAGCGGTCAAATTCTCTGTAGAAGGAGACGCTCATTCTCCATCAATGTTTCGCGAAGGAAAGACGTTCAAATTTTATATACGTTTCGCACGACAGGCAAGATGAGTCAGTAGTTCACCGAACAGCTTGCACACGCAAGTGTGCCGACACAACTAAATAACCATGAAGTAAGTGGCATTCAATATGTTAAGGGTTTGGTTATTATCTTTTCGCAACACTCGACCGATTCGCACGTTATGGGTTCTGCCATTTTGTGAATCATCTCTCTGTGACCAAGCACAATACCTTTCGCAAACAACATTCTTACCCGGAACTATATTCATAATTTGTTCTTTCATATATTACCGTGCTAGTATTACGTATTATTCGTAAGAAAAAAGTTTTAGAGTACCGAAACTGCGAGGTACTAAAAACAAATGTAACCAAATCACACGGTTCACTGTTGCATCATAAAGATTTAGTTTGGTTTTGTACTCATATTTTATCGAAACATTGCTCCAATGATGAGTCTTTTGTAATTTACATAATGTAACAGAGAAACATGGCGTGTATTTAGTTCACTTATTAATTTTCATTCTGAATCTCTGGTTTATGAATGTACAAAACTAATTCAATTTCTTCATTTAATATACTGTTTTCCGTTCCTGATTCTTAATTTCTGTCAGAAATCACAGATTTAAGGATTAGGTAGTTAAATCATGGTTATGCATTTACTTAAATATTTTATATATGATCTGTCAGGTGCAGTTATTTACAATATATTATGTCTGACGCAAATGTTTTTGTGTTTTTAGAGCCAAAATGGCGCTCATTTCGAGCAACGTCGCACAGACGACACAAATTTCTTTTCATCATATTTTAATACCTCTTGATTGGGTCTACGTCAATGATGACATCCAGTCAGAACCAAGGGATGTGGTTATGGAAGCTCGAGCCAGTGTCCCCTAGTGGGACACTGTCATCTGATGTAGAGGATGATTGGCTTTTATTTGATGATAAAACTGTGGAGACTACTAAAAATGCTGAACCCATTATATATGAAAAACATCCGACCCGAGCACAAGTTGCTACAAAACTGTTAGAAGAATTAGATGAATGGATTAAAGAAGGTAAGCCTTTACGTAGTAATCAAATTGATAGTATCAATATTTAATGAGTAATACCTATATATATATTATTAAGCATTTCAAGTATGAAAATCAATGTCTTTGGTTTTGTATTGTTGCTATACTTGCTTATAAGTCATCTGGAACATTTTATATATAAAGCTTAACCTTTATCTATAATACCTTTCAATGAATTAAATCACTACCATGGTTGGTGATTATATGAAACTTCAATTGATTCATAAAAACACTGCTTTATTTTATTATATTTGTATAGAATCAAATTTATAAATTTAAATTCATATAAAAACAATGAATGTTATGAATTGCACAAAATCACCAGTTAGATAACAATAAAGTAAAAAGGTTATCAAATGATATCTTTCCTGCTACATACATGGATTACAATTTCATTATATTCTGTTGAATGCTAAGATATGATACATGTAGGTTCAACCATAAATTTTGAACACGTGTATGTATTTAAAAAATAGGAAAAATAAATGTAAGGTAATGATGCTCAGAGCCACATCACAAAATTGTAGTTGAAAATTCAGTCATCGTAGTTTTCATGAATTATCGTATTTATTAAAAAAAAATTAAGGTCCGCTAGATTCTAGGATATTTAAATAAGTTACAAAAAATATTTGTATGCCTCCAGGGTTGATACCAGACCAGCCTAGGGTTAAAAGAATCTGGTTATTCGCGTTGGTACAGTTCTAAGATTATCGCCGCACATGGCGTCTGAAACGATCGTTAGATACTGCGATGTCGATATATCTTTAAATATCAGACTGTGTAAGAGTAGGCGAACACTTGCAGCTCGTTCTTACGCATGCATCTATTAAAACTAGTGTCCTCTACTTTTCGAAGCAGTACATACGAAAAGGACAGAGACTAACGTTTAACGCATTTTATGCGGCAGCATTCTCGATACTCCTATCGCTTTCATTCTTCTCGCTTCCTCCAGCGGATATCATATTTTTCTCTTTTTTTTTTCTGAAAAAGAGAGTGGGACAAACTGGTTAACCTCTATACAAACGGCTTTGGTTGAAGGCCGATAGGGGAATGACGTGTGTTTAGTAGCGTTGGAGTAGGGGCGACAGAGGGGAAAGTCCAAAGATAAGCAGGAGTGGTCTCGCAGTATTGCAAACTGATCGTACGATTCCGTCGATTAGTCTTCGTCACAAGTCAATATTCTGACGATACTTAATTATTTTCCGGGCCAGATGTACTCTGTTATTGTTTCAAACGTACAAACACTCCCGTTGAATTCATCGTACTATACCAGTGCTAGAGTGGTGCCTTCGTAGGCGTCGAAAGCTGCCACACTCACGACTCTCTTCTGTGCGTGTCGACGACCGTGTCAGCGATCTTAACGTTCGGAAATTAAATGTCCAATTGATCTATGGTGAACCGTATGCTGCGCCGCGTTTTAACATTCAATGTGTTCTAAATACGATTGTTTTGTATGAAATCCATTGATTTCGCTCTGAACGTGATTTATTTCAAACATACGTTAGCGTGTTCGCACGTGTTTTCGCGATATATATCGATCATTCGAACATTGAAAAATAGCACCCGATTGTTTGGAATTACACTTGAATCCCTGTTCCCCGAGTCTGCGAAGACTTGCAAACGGGAATCATCCATTAATCGCGTTTGATTGTCAATCCATGAAAAGTGCTTGGTGAAGTGTGTAAATATACATGAACATCTAGTTAAAATCGAGTTCCAAGAGAAAAAGAATTGGGGCCAGTTGAGCAGTAATAGAACGATACTGGCATCTTTAAAAGTGTGTCGAGAAAACAACGTACCGTCTCGATGCCCGAGTGTACTAATGTTGTGTGATAGCATGCAGTTCGCATATCGCTACACGTGGAACCGAGAGATCATTGTCAATTCCCAAAAACTGGTAAAAAGACGTTGAATTTAGTGCAATTCACGTCCCTATCCACGGACTTGGCTGCTTCACATCGGAAAAATATACCTTACCCTGCATCAAGAACAGTTTTTTTCAATTTGTATTCCTTTTTATTATCATATGCACATATATTGCTCCTCGTTTGAATAAAGGTTCACAGGAAAACACACTACACGTTATAATGGCTGCTATATGTTACAGTGGTACGTTTCCTTTCGCTTCGTTGATTTCCTCTCTCTTTCTAGCATTCACTTTGATGGAAAAATATCTTTATTACGCATATCAGAGCACTGTTGCCACATTGTTCGCATTATCGTACTTGTAGGATTCAATTGAAACGTCTTCAAAAGTAATTGTTACTGAATTATTTGATCATGGATCCCTCGAAGAATAGTTTTCAAATTCTATATTGTGCGTAACGAATTGTTTACGCAACTGTGAATTTATTTATTGCATTTGTTACGAATTTCCGATCAGAAAGTACTTTTGTGTCTTCTATATTAAATAACGGGATGTTTCGAAAATTTTTGAATTACGTATAATAAACGAAAAGCAGGTTTAAAATGTACTTTTAAATCCGTATTAGATCATTATGCGTCCATACAGCCCTGCCATAATTTATGCAGCTATGAAAAAAGGAAATTAAATTTAACAATTTAAATTTCATTGTATGCACACTATTTTACAGATATTCGTTAATTCCGCTTAATGATAAAGTTGTGTTCTGTACTTATATAAATCTTTATATTTAAAAAAATTCTTATCTAACCCCATGCCCTCTGCAATTAAGTAAAGATAACATCCACATTTCAAGTAAAGTCTGATCAAAGTTTCATGGAGAAATAGGTTAGGGGTAGTTTATCAGACATTAAATGTTCTACATAGTAAAACATGTAATAATGTACAGAAGGTGTTTTACAATTACAAAAATTAAAATATAATGAACAAAAATATATATGTTTGAGCACTTCCTGTTTACCTTGTTACTTGAAAGATTATTTATTCTGGATTTAATTAACATGTACACAGAGTTGTGTATTCATTAAGTTTTTAAATAAAAATTCAGTTTCTATTGCAGACTACATTTTTATGCTCTAATGTCAGAACATGCTCTAAATAATGTTTCCTGCCAGTATTGATTCCAGCAAATGTGTTAGTAATCAAAGATATTGCAAATCAAGAACTTGTTTTTCTAGTTGAACTAGTAACGTCCATGAAATTATATATACATCAAAGTACCACTCCTACTTATTGTTCATGCAAGACAAGTAAAAGTACTGTTAACTTCTATCTATGTCTTGATAAAGTATACAAAATACTTAAAATATTATTTCTTAATTTTGATTAAATTATAAAATTCAATGAATATTACATTATAATATAACTGTATTATCCTTGTTAGTAGATTGATATATCCGATCATCAGAATCAGATAATGTGATATCAATGCTTTGTTTGCTTAACACAACAATGTTTAAGCACCAGACTAAATGACTAAGGAAAGAAACAAAGCATTTTGTTTACTTTTAAACATTAAGCATAAAAAAATAATTTTTATATGCATTAAAAATATTTCATTTTGCAGAGCCTTTTTCGGATTGGTTGGAGGAAAAAATAGAATTGCCCATATTCGAGGAATTACCAGCTCCTGAAAGTGGACATCTTAAGCCAACAACATATAATGAAGTTACAAAGATCCCTCAACAAGATGATACCCAAACCCTACTGCAAGAATTTGAGACAGTCCTGGGAGATGTGGAAGCTTGCCATCAAATAGTCCCTACATCAAGTTCCACACTTACACCACCTCAGTCACCACCACCACATAAACCATTAAACATGGATACCCAATTACTCGTTACTTTACAACCTGTACAACCATTATATTCTAATCATCAATCCATGTACAGTGTGGTAATTCCAGAAGAAAAAACATACGTTAATGAAGTACCTGTGCAATGGAATACAAAAAATATACCATTGGATTCACTGAACACAGACGTCGCGCACGACTTAGCTGTGGTGGACGAATATGTACGTTTGCAAACCGAGGATATTCCGCCATCTAGTCCATGTACTAGTTCCGGTGGTAGTTACACATCATCGGAAGATTCTGTTGACGATCCAGATTGGATTTTAGAGACCGGGAGGAAATGTACAAAACAATCAACGAGCGCTTCGGCCAGAAGTCGCCAGAAACCTTACTCCCGTCCATCTGTGGAAGATAAAAAAGTGCGGAAAAAAGAACAAAATAAAAATGCTGCTACGCGTTATAGACAAAAGAAAAAGCAAGAAATAAAAGATATATTGGGCGAAGAACGCGAACTTACGGAACATAATGACAAATTGAAAAATCAAGTAAAAGATTTGCAGCGAGAAATAGGGTACTTAAAGGGCTTGATGAGAGACTTATTTAAAGCCAAGGGTCTGATCAAATAATCCATTTATCAACTACAGTTTTGTTTCATCATTTTTTTTTAAATTTATTAATCTTTTTTTGACACTAACTATTTTACAATGGTCTTAATAATGTATTGTAGTATATAGACTTAGATTACTGATTGTTATTCCCTTCTCTTTTTTAAAACGAGCAACATATTTGAACATATATCTAAAGTCTATCACAGCTTTTTAGTAGGACTACAAAACTATCATCATGTAATCCATAAAGTATACACCATCCCTTGATTTACAGAGGGTCCGTTAAGATTAGCAAACAAGATGCATTAAGTGACCAAAGAATTTACGAAGTATACAGCCCTATGAAACTCTGTCGAGTGGAAACTTGTTGTTGCTGAGAATTCTGCGAGTGATTTAATGCATCTTAATGACGCAAATTTTTTCATTCCAAAACAATTCTAACCCAATCAAGTTATGAGTTTTCTTACAAAAAATATTGTATTAGAAAAGTAATACGTGGGTTATTGTGTAATAAATATCGACGTTATTGTCAAAAATATCCCTGTTTTCTAATTCCTTAACAATTTTAAAAATCAAAATCGTTTCGTCACACAACGATATACATATAAATAAAGAAAGCGTACATTTTTCAAATGCAACTCAAAAAAATCACAGAGGTAATTAATCATAATTGAAACGACAAAATGCAACATGTTAAAGTATATTTATAAAGCTATGAAGATTGATTCTTTATAATGTAAGATACTATCAGCTTGACAACTATCATTAACCTTTCAATCAATTATATCATTAACAAAGTACATTTATAATGGTTATTATCTAACTTTACAGGAGGAAAACGAGTTTTTAGAATTTTTTCCCGACCACGCTAAATGAAATTGTTTGAACATCTATTGCAAACGTTTGATCATTAGAGAATAGGGACACGAATGTGTGTTTCGTCGTTCATCAATTGTTTATGCAAGTTATAAGTGTATGTGATGCTTTTCTTTTAAGTAAATATAACAGAACCGTGTTTATTACACGAATAATAAATGAACTTACAAACAAATTGTTTAATGGCTTACAAAAGTCTGTTAAGGTTTCAATTATTTCATAACTGCATTCTTTGCAAAATTAGTTAAATAATTGTTTGTGTTTATAGAACATAATATTCGCGATAATGGTGGAAAAATATTACAGAACAAATGCGAATATAATCAATTTACGGGGAAATTATAGAGTAGGATATCTATAACATTAATTACTGAAAGATCTGTTATTAATTATGACAACATACAACTAAATAGATCAGGACTGACGAACTGTCGGCCCGTGAACTACATGCGTCTGTTGGTCTGTTTCCCCTACCTGTCTGTTCCGGACAGCTGTAAAACAGTGTAGGAAAATAATCCCCTCCATACCTATTTAACTCCGCTTCCTTTATATCTTATACATACTTGTGATGCTGACGAACTGACGGATTGTGCTTGTAGCCGCACGTAAAAGCTAACTGATGACGGGCCAAGGAGCTCCCGATAGAAACGAAGTTCGTCAGCCCTGAACTTAATAATAACAAATGAGTTGCTATCTTAATATTCTATTATAATTGTTATTCCGTTACATTTTTATGTTATATACGTAGTATACGCATTAAAATGACTCCCGTGCGTACGTTGCATTAATAATGCATTCTCAAATATTTATATGTATACACATTGTATGTTAACCTAAGAAGGAATTCACGTACGATACGCATTGTGTGTACACACACGTATACACATCATGGTGTGGTATGTATGTATATTTACATACGAATATATAGGGTGTCCAGTAAATTGTGATGCAATCGAAAAGGTTCTTTTACATGGAAAAACAATATTAATATATAAGGTAAAATTTGTTTAGGCCAAATATTGATTTTAAAGAAATCGAGTCCGTGACTTTACGTAGTACATACAGATTTTTATATACCACTTAGCTTGGATAGTTATCCATTACTGATTATTTTGACGTACATTTATTAATGTTCCCAAACATTAACAGTGGTATAACATTAACTTTTCATATATTCACTTATTCGGAATTGGTGGACAATACATACGACACGTACAATTATCCATGTGCATTCGAAAGCAAGCGTGCTGATGAGTTTTCAAAGTTCGATTTTTTTGGAAACGAAGCTCCATATAAAAAACTTTATTATACATTTTTTGTTTTTGCATATACATCAGCTATTTCTCAATCATACCACGATTTACTGAACACCCTATGGAATACGACTGTACTTGTATTTACACACAATTGTACTCGGTAGTACAAAATAGACTGCCGAATAGCCTTTATTGGTTTGAATTTTCATACTTTAATTTATTGTGAATACACAATTGTGTTTTGATTAGATAATGATTTATTTACGTGTGCATACACGTACGCATATGATCAACGAAAAAAATATGTTTGTACCATACACCAAATATGGTGTAAATTTGTATGAAGTTATAATTTTCTTTTCTTCGATAAAAACATATACGTAATTTAGCATGGCGTATGATTATTATCAGAAAGTGATTTGCAATATACCTCGTAATTATCTAATTTTATTGATTATGTATTATAACATACTGCTTTTTTGCTATTCCTGGTCTACATACTATTACGAATTCGGAAAGTTGAATTTCGATAGCATTACAACATGTACAGAACAATGTTCTCTTAAATCAAGAAATTGTATTTATAATAAGTATATCATTAGTAGTAAATATATTAAATATCTATTAAGAATGGAATTTACAAGTATTCTAAATTTTACATTTTTCGTGGGCTCCGTAAAACATATTTCACTGAGTTATTCATATGTATTTATAGTAATGTACATGTAATGTACATATGATTAGTTCTGTCATCTAATCGAAGAAGCACTCACAAAAGAAAAATTTTATAAACAAGTTGTGCTATGCAACCAACAGTTAATAATTTTTTATTGAACTCGTGCTTCAGGTTTGCTGTTTACAGAACAGACGTACATATAGATATACATTGTTCAGGTTATTTATTTATTTTTGTACCTGTGTACTTGCGGACTTTTTACGTTACATATATATAGAATCGAAGAACATTAACAATACATGAAAATAATGTTGAGTATTGCTCATAATTGTATAAATATGTAGGAAACAAATCACGTAATTATAAAAAATCATTTGATCGTAATTAACAAAAAATTAAGATAATTTTGGATATGGCAGTACTCTCTATATATGAACATAACTTTCTGGAATGTTGTATGCAAAGTTTATGAGTATTTGTGATTTGGTTTATCGGAAATGATGTTAATAATGCCTGATATAGTAGTAAAAAACATTATTAGCTTTCAAAGTCTAACTTAATAACTGTTGTGTAGCAGTGAAGTATTAAGTAGCTTTCAGTAAACTTTGTAAGTTTCTTACTTAAAAATGATCACACTATATATGTACACCTGTGTGAAAATATTTCTTTAAACTGATAATCGACACAGTTGAAATCCCCCTTGATTAAAAATGATATCCTTAGACAATACAAAAAATAATGTTAACCTTCTCATAAATAAAACCGTGTTAAAAACGTATATGGAAACTTTATGGAATTTTCTAGATTCAATGTATATCTATATAAGCTGACAATTGCATTCACATATTGAATAATATAATTGAACTATTTATCGTACTGAAGAGAAACAAGAGATATTAAAAAATGTTTACAGTTCCTATGTTGCAGTATCACCTTCCTCCTGTTCAAGTCTAGAAGAACCACATACACGGCATTTACAACAGACAATACAAGGCGCAGCCAATAAAAGTAACGGCGATGCAACAAGCAAGAGTAACCCAAATCCAGCAAAAATTCCAATGACTTGTGTTCTGTGCCAAATGACCGACGCACGCGAATGACCCAATTTATTTTTACATGGTCCTTTGTCGTAATGTCGCAATAAAAAGTCATCCTGTTGTATTCATATAATTATGAAATTGAATAATTTTTATATAAGTTAAAGCGATTAATATCACTGACATTCTCAACATTAAAAGTAATCATACTTACATCTAAAGAAGCTAAACAATACCAGCAAAAAACATGTTTACATCTTTTACACATCATTTGAGCACATCCTTCATCTTTTTCAATAGGTACAGAACACATGGGACAGCACTTGATATGATCACCATCAAATGGTATACCCAATGAAAGATCAGAACAAGGACCACTATGCCAAGACTCTCTGCATATTGAACAGAAGTCTGTAGAGCAATTAGGACAATGTACTGGCCCAATAGAAGTTCCATTTGATCCAGTAGCATTTATTGAACATATTGTTTCACAACCTGCACGTGGACACCAGGCACGTGCTTTATCCATAGACACATCTGTACAACACATAAAAATGGTTAAATCAATGTTAACACAATTTGAACATCAATAACTAAATGCCAACATATTAAACATCACACACCTCTATTTAATCGAAACTTATGATGTTTTTCCATAAGTTCAGAACTAACAAGACTTGATATTTCCTTTATAGAAAGTATTACCCCATGCTCACATTGTGCATCAGGACAACTAATTTCATATGCACCTTCTTCGATTTCAAACTCAACATATGCTTTCATACACTAAAATATTACATTATACATATGTGATATATTCTTATCCAGAAAATGTATCAAGGGCAGCATTTATAGTTACAGAAAGATTACACTTACATCTTTACAATAGGAACAACCACAGCCTTCTAGTTTAAATGCTTTGGAAAGAGAAGTATCAACAAGACATAATTTACAAAAGATGCGTCCAAGCGCTTGCTGAGAACCTGCAGGTACAAAATTGCCTGCAGCCAAACTGTAACGTGAACTGGATGCCAATGATAATAGGCTAGAGCAGCGAGAACAAACTCTACTGCGATTTATAGGTCTGCCCTCCAAAGCAGAAGTGCTTAAACCTACTGCAGTTTCACATTTTCTTAGTACTCCTGGACCTAAGCTTAACCAGCTACTACCACGAGCTTCCAAACTTGCACTACTTTCAGGCCTAAGTAATGGTGCATCGACTCCTTTCCCTAATGCTGTCCTTTCTGTTAGAGAAAGATTTACAACACTTGCTTCTTTACGTAGTAAAGGTAATCTGACTCCAGTAAGTTTATTAGATTTCTCGACTTTTTTCTGATTGGAAGCAATTTTGGTAGGAGGGTTTACAGATGTCACAGAGCTGGTGGCAGTACCCATATCCATCAGTGGAGCTCGTCGTACGACGAGCGAATGTAGGCTGGGCATCCCCTAATTATTGATCAAAATTTCACTAGCAGTTGCAGGCAAGAGCTGTGCTTACTGACTGTTTCTAGACAGTTCACAGCAGCGCTTGCCATGTAACAAATGACATATAGGCAAATGATCAAAACTGTAAATGTCACACCCATAAAATATTTTTCCACTGTATATTTTGATTTGTTCATTCTGCCATAACTTCACAATATTTGTTATACTTCATTCTCTTTTTCATCATTCTCATGATGTCCCTTTTATAATTTCAAGGTGATTAGAAACGATATCGATTTCTATTAAATAGTTACGAAACCACGTTCACAAAACATTTGCATCTTAATACAAATCTGTTGACACGAGAAGTTTTTTACTTAATTTCGAAAAAATCATATTTTTTTCGACAGTTAATCGAAAAATTGAAATAGTAATCAACAATGTATAAATTCACTCCTCATAATGGATTGTTAATCCCTAGTTAAATGACTGAAAAATATCGCTGTCTATGAAGAATATTTATGTTATGCTTGTCAATCCGAGATATCTCTCGCAAGTCAGAAAATTGCTACGTAATATTTCACATGTATTCAGTACCCAAAAGAATACGTATCTGACAATTCGAGCATTATTCCGTTCGAATACACTTGGATCTTGTGCCTTTTTTTCTAATTTCACAAACTTTTCATGTTTCGTGTTACAAAGTGCAGCGAACAGTGTACACAAATTACCGACTAACTACTTCCGCCCCCACTTGATCACACTTTTTTAACGAGTATCGAAAAAAAGATTATCACTCTACGTCTGCACCGTGATATCTTTACTGAAATCGTATTTGTTTTATGTTTGACATAATATCGTATCCCTGTGACTCACTTAACGCGTATGAAGAATCCAGGTAGAGAGGTGTTAAAATATTTCACGATACCGATACGAAATAAGGAATTCTCTCGAATTAGAATTTCGTACGCTAGTAAATTTTTAAAACATCAGTTCTGATAAAATCCCGCGCCCTTGTTGATAACGAGAACAGTAAGTAATAATTTGTTAAAACACTGTATTCGTTGGTTATTTTCTCGTTTGTATAATTTGTATTACAACTGCGCGTGTAGGTAACAGGTTTAAAGACAACACGACAAGGTTTTATTATTTCTTTATAATATTTGGTTCTCTTTTTAATCATTTAATGCCTTTACGATGCTCCATAAATTTACCAATACAACAGACATTTTAACAACTATGTTTTCGGATGAGTCTTCGGACTGCGGAATGTTTATGCAAACGATAAACAAAATTTATAGGTATTACTTTTAGATACTAGAATCGGAGAACAATTGAAAGTTTCTCACCAGTTCATGTTTCATGCTCGCTTTACACATTGCAATTTGAAATTAATTACGACGAAATCAAGATAGAAACTCTGTATGCATATATTTAGGTATACAACAGTATACAATGTATCACATTCACAAGCTCATTCCGTTACTGCAGGAAAATTGTGCACAAAAGAGCGGGAAATTTAATTTAATAGCTAGAATAAATTCGAGTTTTCATTGATCAACTTTCGAAGTAGAAATTAGACACAAATTCATTTCCTTATGGATGTTGTTAGGTTCAATATGAACTACATACTCTATTAATCTTACTTAAATTCTTTATTCTATTATGCCATTCATGTTTGCAATAAATGAATGAACATTTACATTCTAGTAATAAATTCCTTTTAATTTAGTGTAAGTAAAGCTTAATACTTTTAAACACATCTACTCACAAGTTGTACACAAGGTGCTTTGACCTGTATTTAATTGCGTATAATTTTGTGACAATTGCATACTTTCGTTATTTTTTTAAGCAAACATTTCTAAATACCTAAAACGTAGGAATTGTATTTCATAAAAAAGTTGTCTAAAAAATGAACAATCATTTTATTATACATTTTTATCACACAAAATGAGTGAAACTTAAAATATTAGACAATTATGCTACAGTTCATGTATATATTCTAATTACAAAATCAGAATATATAACGTTTAATATTTACAAATACTAATTCACTGCCTTTCCATTTACGTAATTGAAATCTACACAGTATATATTATTGTTTAACACTTAAATTTTATTACAATTGTATAAAAAGTTGAGCAAATTATGTATCGGTAAGACTTTGTTCGTAAAATAATAGTGGTAATAAATTCAATGGAAAGATAAAAACAGGCATCAGTTAATATGTAACGTAAGGAAGCAACATTTATGAACACCTTCAGTGAATAATGATATTTGCATCAGACTTTTAAGCAATTGCGTACTTTAATTGTAGCAGTCTTTACGAATTATGAATATCAAAATAATTGCTAAAGAAATTTTTGTTGACTAGAGCATCCTGCGTATTTTTGTACAGGCATTTTTGTCACCATGTTACTGTCACTAATTTTCTTTTTGTATATATACCATCTTGAATATACATGCTTTGAAACCTTTATTGTTATATTTAAATATTGTATATTACTAGTGAATGACACGTGAATAATACTTCATGAAGCATGGCACGAAAATTTTAGAAAAACTCGTATATTGCAGTTTTATGAGCAAAGACAGAATGGTAAACTATACATTGTCAGAATGAATATCTTTGTATTTTTTGATTTTATAAATTAAAAAGCGTATAAAAAAGAACAGGGAAAATCGTATTTAGCTACAGTCGCAATCGTAATTACCAGCAATTGTAGAACAATAATTCCTTATAATTAAACAAATACTTACTACTATACAACAAATTCATTTGTATGTGTACTCTATACAGCATACTTCCTGATTACAAATACTCCAGTAAATTTTCTTATTAAATGTATCTTACATGTAATAGACATGATAAATTAAATGACAATTTAGAAATCTGCGAGGAATTTGTTGGTATATGAGTCTTGACTTGATACATTACAACTGTGCGTTAAAAGTAAGATTAAAAACAATAACTTAATGTTGGTTGTATATTTTATAAAGAAATATTTCCAGGTATACTATATTGTCCTTTTCGGGAATGTGTGTCAACTGCTCGAACTGCGAAGTAATAATTATTACCTTCGGAAAACTGCCAAAATAAAACAATTAATATAAAAACTTGTCAATATACATTACTGTAATCGTTATGTTAAATTATTCGAATTACTTGCGTAAGGGTGCACGCCATAGGTAGCGGTAAAGCTCGCACGTCTCCTACTTTTTTCCATAACGCTGTATTAGGAGGTACACCAGCAACTTCTTGGTATGCATATAATTGATAACTAGCAATATCTGCATACTTATCAGATAAATTCATATTCCAGGATAGTACTATACCTACACAATTATAACGAATATTTTTGCGCTTCTAAAACTTATTTATTAATCATAATTATTTATGTTACATACCATTTGCAACCTTTGAAATTTTCAACGAAGGAGCTGGTGGTGGAAGTTTTAATGCAGGGTTGACACCATAGCTTCTTATGTCTGGTAAAGGAGCAGGATGCTGAAACGAACAAGAATAAATAGGAAAAATTTACTTACAATAAATAAAATAAAAGCAAATGTTTATTTGAAAAACTACAATACCTTATTCAACTGTACATTTGAAGGAGCTGATGTTGTTAGAACTCTAACTGTTCCATTTGCTACTGTCGATACTCCTGTAAAGAAGATTCAATTGAATTAATTATTTCTGACAGTAACATATAAGGCATTTATCATATTTGCATACCAGTTTTATACGTCAGAGTTGAAAATGATGTTCTATTACACGAAGTTACTGGTCGTATCTAAAATTAGGAGATTTTATTATGGAACTATATAACAATTACATTTGAATTGTTGTAAAAAATATTAAATTCCACTTTACCGTGGCGGGATTCGGTGCTATTAATAACTGTCTTGCTGGGCCTACGCCGCTTTGCATTACATATGCTAACCGAGGAGCATTCATATTATTCTAAAACATAATTATATACAAATGTTTACTATATCAATTACTAATAAACATGTATAATTCTTTTACGTACTACTAAGGCAGTAGGTGTCGGTTGGCTAGCTGGTTGTACAACTCTTATACTTTGAGGTGGATTCGTTATTGCTACATTCCCGGGGATAGTTTGAATTACCCTTTGGAAGCAAGGTTGTGTTTTTTGTGTTAAATTTATCTGTTGATCAGTTATCGTAGTTGTTACTACCGGTACGCTGGCAGCACCTACAAATTAAAAAATGTAATTGTAAATTATAACCATAATTAAGTAAGGATACCCCTATTAATCTATAAATGCCTACGTAATAATGGTGCTTCCTTGTTATCAGAAATAATTGAGTATAGATTTTTCTTTACCTTTAGTTTTCTCTTCTTCATCTGTAAGGTCTATGAGATCGTTCGTTCTTGGTTTTGCAATATTAATTGCGGTATTTTGACGGTTTACTTGATTTGGGAACTTTCCGTTTAGAACTATAGTTTGCTGTGTTTGCTGTGTTTGCTGTGTTTGCTGTGATGGCTGCGGTGGCTGCGGTGGCTGTGGTGGCTGTAATGATTACCAATATATAAATGAAGTTACATCCATAGATAAAATTAACAAATGTTAACTCTCTGGCGAACGCGCTGCGGCAATTCAATACCACAAAACGACTAAGGACTGAGCAATCCTAATTTTGAATTTGTTACCGTTGAATTGGAACTACGCCAATTGTGTCGTTTCAGGACTCGTGTATACAATTAAAAATCGACAAAGGCAGCATTTGGTTTATTTAGTAAGTTTTTGTATATCCCCAACAGAAAATTTGTCTGTGGTACTCAGTGCTGAGACGCTCCCACCAATGGATAAAATACTCACATTAGGTATCATTTGTTGAACATTAGACTGATTAGGTAATTGTACAGTATGCTGTCCTTCCATGGGCTTAGCTACAACTAAAGCTGCAGGAGTTATGGTAGGTATGATGTTTGGAGACTGAGAATGATTTTGTGAGATGACAGCAGTCTGACCGACTATCGGTTCAACTCGTCTTGGAGATCTTACTTTGACTCCTCTTCTTGGACTTGCTACATTATTGATTTCTGTATTCGGTGTATTTAATGTATTATTACTACTTGAAACATTTAAGGATTTCATATTCGAATTCTGTTGCAATTGTCGCAGATTTTGAATTCCATGATCCTAGACAAAAATAATAGTAACCATATCTATTCAACGATCATCATTTAAAAACTTTATTTATATATGTACCGTTATGAAATTAACTTGTAGTCCCACAGATCTATTGATTTTAATTGGTGGCATAGGTTTGTCATTATTAGCACGTCGATCTGCAGCATTACGATTTAAAACCATTTCAAAATCCTTGATCTGCTTCGCTAATTGCTGACACTTTGCGCGTGTGACTTCTTGATTTCTTTCCGATATGCGTGCTTGTTCCCTCAATTTCCCGATTTCACCACGCATTGTGATTGTTTCAACAATCTTCTGTATTAAGAGTTCTTCTAGTTCCTTTAAAGAATTTATTAATGTTAAATACATAGAATAATACATATTATTAATACCAATCGGTATTTTTGTATCTCAAGTATTTCTAACATACTTCTTGTTTCAGTTTTGGCAATTTTTCCTTTAGATCTCTTTGGAAAAATTTGTGAACGTAGCCCAAATTTTTAATGTTCTCAGAATTGTTTTCTGTCGATGCTAATTCGTCAGATGGCGTGTCAGAAGTTACTTTAATTTTCTTAACGCTACCGTTCATTGCTACATTATCTATGTCAGAACAGTTGCGTTTTAAAGAAGGCGGAGACAATGGTCTAGCATCTTGATTTATTTTATGATTCACAATCACAAACTTTTCTGAACTGTCGCTCGACTCTAAATCACTGTCATGATTAAGGAATTTCTTTCGTATGATTTCTTCTGCATTTTTAGCCGTTTTTCTCTTTTGTCTTCCACTTTCTTTGACTGTAACAAAACGTTATAGCAACAAGTGTACAATTAAAAGAGATAATATAATTAAAATGAAGAAAGACAATGATTAAATGCAAGCTACTTTACAATAAATATATTAAAAGTATGAGAATATTTTACTATTGTTATACAATGTATGTACAACTAAAATAATGGTACATAGAACAAGATAACATTTTAGGAGACTACTTTCATGCACATATAAAGCTCATTAGTTATTCACATAACTTTTTATATGCAATTTACTTTACAAACAAACTGAAATATTTTTTTTAACATTATTGAACCTCCACCTTTAAATAAACATTGCGTTCATAAATAAAATTTACTTTTTCCTCGAAGGAGTGTGAACAAAAAAAATGAATACCAAAAACCTTTATAATATTACAATCAAATGCAGTACTGTTTATTTGCAGAAAGAGATTACTACTATTTTTAGTAATAAAATTAAAAAGAAATATATGTGGGTCATTTGAAAAGTTCTTGGACTGGAGGGGAAAGATAATATAGAGTTTTTATATTTCTATTTTTCAATATAATTTGTTGTTCTAAATACTCTTGAGAAAATTGCATTCGAATTTGCTTTCGTCAGTGAAAATGATCTTATTCCAATATTGTATTGGAGTGTTAACGTGTTGTTTGGCGAATTCTAATCGCTTCTTTACGAATAACTTCACTTACAAAATACTTTTTGCGTGCAACTCTACCGTGATATTCACTACTTCGCAAGTAATTACGCACAGTACCAGCAGAAACATGTATACCATTATTGTTTCTAAGCTCTGCAGCAATTTGTTTGGGACTTATACGCGGATTTTATTTAACTTTACGAACAATCATTCGTCGATCGTACTCGTTTATCTTTCGCGAACATCCAGACCTTATTTTATTTTGAACTGTTTTTCGTGATCCAATTCTGTCAATAATACTTTGAACGGTAGACCTTGGTCTATCCACTATGCGAGCAATTTTACTAAGCGATTTGCATTCTTGAGAAACAGTTGAAATTTTTGTCTTGTCTCTACAAGTGTTCTGTGCGAACTGGCAAGCATTGTTGTTATTCGTTCTATTTGGAAGGTTGTGTTGTGTTTACATCTCAAATAAGTACAAGAAATGAGAGATGTACGAATACTTTTTACGCCGACGGTATAACGAATGAAAATCTTTGATGAACTAAAAATTTCAGAACTACTGATGTCATCTATACTTCATACTGAGAACTTTCTAAATGACCCACGTATAAGTAAATAATAGGGAAAATAGAGTAATTAATAAATAAATAAATTTAACTAATATTGCTTCTTATAACTACTGTGAAAGCTAGTGCTATAGTCAGTCTATAAGTACTCTAACAATGTAAGACATTTCCTACCTTGCTTATCTTCTTCAAAAGCAGCTTCTTGTGCTGCTATCATCATTTTTTTTGTTCGTCTTCTCCTTCTTTGAGTAACTACTGGGACTTCGACAGTTTTTTTTTCACTATTATCGGAATCTATTATACTAGTAATACGACCTAATGATTCATCTTGCGATTTGACGCTAGATAGGCTATTTTCATTTAATGTAGACACCATGTTTTGAATTGGAGCTGGTGTCTTATTTTCAGAATTTTCCACAGGACTTTCTTTATCTATAGATTTAACGTTTTTGTCGACAGTACCACTATTTTGTTTTTGAATATCAAGTTTAGAATTACTTAAACGATCTTCAGTAAGAAGTAACTTCAGTTGTGAAGAAGAATTTGTACTATTATCACTATCATTTAATTGGTCTTTATCACATTTTGCACCATTAGCAAGTGGTTCAAATACCATGTTAATTTCTATTACTTCAGTTTCCTTATTATCTTCTGTATTACTTAACTCATTTAGTATATCATTTGTCTTGATGGCATGATTTTCAGTATCTTTATTTGACTGTGCATCTTGTACAGATTCATCGTCGTTATTTCTTGAAATCGTTTCTGTATCAACATCTATTACTGTTCCATTTACTGGTAATCCGTTATTTATTGTACGTTCCTCGACTAAATTATTTTCAGTTGAATCTGTTCTTTGATTTACTTCTATACACTGTTGATTTGCATTAAGTTCATTTTCATCTGATTTGTTCTGTTCAACACTTTGGCTTTCATTCAGATCGGCAGTAGTTGTAGTTTTAATTGGGTCATCCTGTTTACTGTGACTATCCACTTCAATAAATTCTATATCTTCATCGTCAGATAAATAATTTGGACCTTCGGTCAATAATTTTGCCAATATATTAAAAGTGTTAGAACTTTGTAAACTGTTGCAATCAAAATTGTCATTACCTGTATTAGTATTCTCTTTTTCTTCAAAGGTAACCTTCTTTTCATCCTGGGAATTCGTTAAGGAATTTGTAAGTTCTTCATTAGAGGACTCATTACAAGTTTCAGTTTCAATGGACAAATTATCTTTAGATTCAACAACATTAGACAGTGATGGCGTTTCCAAATTCTCTTGCACAATGTTTGTTTCATGCTCCAATTCCAGAAACTCACCAACACAAATAGTATTAGTATCGATTTCATTCTTTGACTCTTCAATTTTGTTATTTTCCGTGACTTCATTTGGTAATTTGCTTAAATCATCATTAGTCTGTTCACTATTGATTGGAGATTCGCTAACTAATTCATTACTTGTTTCAATTTTTATATTAGAACAGCTTTCATCCTTGATGCTGGTGTCAGCTTCAGTTCTTGAAGATATGTTTGCATCTGGAGGAGACATAACATTTTGGTCAACATCACTTTTAGTATTAGACCTCTTCATAGGAGAAGGTTTGAAAGTTCTGTTTTTTGGTCTATGATACATTAATTTGTTATATGAATTGAACATTCCATTGCCTCTTCCTCTTTCAAAGGGAACAAACGCATTGCGAAATCTAGTAGTACAATCGTATGGATTTCTAAATTGTCCTCTAGGTGCCAAATACCGATGCCTGACATAAGGAAAATGATTGACATAGGGAAAGTGAGCACGAGGGGTACTTGCAAACCTCCATTGAAACTCATGATTTGGCCATGGATAACGAGGCATACAATTAATCATTTGTGGCCTCATAAATCCATTTATATTTCTGTTGGTATCCTTTGCATGATGTGCTACTACTTTGTCACCCACAGAAACATTACCTGAACAATGTTCCTCTTCCTTTTTTTCCCTCGAAGAAGGTGTGTCACTCTTTGTTTCATTTTTTACAGGAACAGGAGAAGCTTGCACATCTTCACTTTTTCCACATATTACTTCTGTAATCCAAGTTTTCAAAGATGAATGCTTTTCTTATATAATGAACAAGCTCAGAATATTCTTAGACTATAAATTACTCAAAGTTACAATTTTATACAGTGGTGCTTATATGTTCTATATAAATTTATAGGCTGCAAAGCTTACCAATTTCTTCATGCTGTGGCTTATCTTCTTTATCATCCAAGACATGTGTTAGAATATCATCTGGTTCAACCTCATCGTCATCGGATAATCTTAAACGCATACTATCATCTGAAAGTGCATCTTCTTCATCACCATCATCACCTCCATACAATAGCTCATCTTCTTTTTCTTTTGATAATTCGTCAATATGGTGCGTATCCATACAGGACAGTGAATGTATAGAGTCAGCAGTATGTACATTATCAGTTCTTAAAGCCTCCATTGTAGGAAAGGTAAGATATGCAATACAATGTCACAGCTCATCCATTTATCGGCAACATTTAATATTCTTTGATCTGTAAGTGATCACTGTGTTTGAGACAATTATACTTTAACGTATAAACTATTAATTTTGTAAAAATTAAAATAAATAGTTACAGATTTAGTAAATATGGCAACCACAAATATATTTGTTTAATTGTTTAATTGATTAATTTTACATAGTCGTAAGATTACAAATAATATTCTGTAACATTATTTGATACAAACTTAAAAATAAAACATTTTTAAATTAATTGTTAAGTGTTATAAGTACGAATTACAATCTCGTAATCTGATAGATTGTGTAATTTCAAATAATCAATCACAGAGTAGAGAGCTCAACACATTTAGAACAGAGTTCTTCATTGCAAAAATAAAGCCGCTAAAAATGACAGCTACAGTTACAACAAATCGATGTATTCCACTTGGTGTCGTAACTTTGTTAACCATACAACTCACGTAACGAAATTGTTAAACAGTATTAAGCATGATTCTGGTTACGATTTACATGTTACAGAATTAAGTTTCTTTTAGTAAAAATGAAGAGAATGTAATTTGGGCCCCCCGATGACGCGCCAACCTGTGTTGTCCCTGGCCCATAAGTACTCAACTAACAAAAATGGCGGATCGAAGCTGTAAACCTAACGATTGTTACTGTATTGAGTAACATGTGCAGTATGTTGTCCAAAACAGTGGATATTCGTAATATTTTATAAATAATTTTTTTAAATGAGCGTCGGTTTTTCATTTACATCACACTAAGTAAATGTATAATACAGTAAATGAACAATTCGTACGTTCGTGTCACCGACATATCAACAGTCCAAAGGTTTGATCAGGTTGAAAATATTATTTAATGTAAGATCAAGTAAAAATATGCACAACACAAATATTTTCGATAAGTAATCACGTTAAAATACTGTAAAATGAATACAATTCAAACTGTGAGAGTTTATGTTCAGAAAGGCGGGATTCTTGATAGACTTGTCTATTGAACGAGTACCGTCGAACATAGGCCCCGACATGCGTCCTCACGAAGTTCAACGATTCCACACGAAGTCGTCCAATATGGCGTCACGATTCGCCCCCAACTAAACTAATTCCAAATAAATTAAAGCAAATAAAACCTAATATATAATATTCTCATACCAGAAATACCTCCATATACAATGGAGTTTTAAATGAAAATCTTCTCTTTCACTTCAAGGCTGATTCGATACTTGAAATTAGAATAAGGTCATGCTTACGACTTCCCCCACTCCTCTACCTACGCTACTTAATACTTTATACTACCAACCAATATTAACTTTAATTTCAGAGAAATATTTTTAGCCTTTTGCTATCACAATTACACTATCAGTCTATACTGTTTAATCAAAAAAGAATATCAAATGTACAAAATTGATACAAATTTTCAATAGTGATATCAAATTTTTTTTTCGACCAAAATTTTTTTAGGCGATACCTACTAAGCTAGGAAAAGTAGTATCGATAATTTCTAACTAATAAGTAATTAAATTATTAAATACTAGTACATGTTTTTTAGTAAACTATACATAAGGTACAAAAATACGTTTTCTTAGGTACTGTTCAGTAAGTTCTAAGTACTCATATTGAAAGATTGACAAGTAGCCCCACCCCTTTTCGTTTTGTGCTCGTCGGCGAGGTTAACATACGTCACACTCGTAATACAATGCCTATGTAGACTAGTTGGGAAAATTAATATACTTTTACAACTAATCATATCAATTTTATGAATCTATCAGTGATTTAGGAAATTGATTGTTTCATGTATTTTCACAACTTATAACCCATTTCATAAATTCTTTATTTATTTCTACAGAAAAATATTATTTATTTCTGCATAACAATACAAATTAGATACGTTGTATGCTTCACATTCATGAAGTTACACATTTACGTATAATTAGTAATAATAATATACTTCATAACGGGATATATAGTGTAGGTATTGTTTCCCAAAAAGAACATACAAGACCTCAAACATTTTTTTTTTATTATGTTATACGAAATCCGTAAACTAGGAAAAATACCAAAGTCAACAACAATAAACAATTTACTACAAGAAGTATACGTATATTTATTACAATATCAGAACCTTCTCCCGTTAGTGTTTTACGCATGCGCGGTGAATTCCATGTATGCGCAAGAGTACTGCGTGTAGTACTCGAAAATTATTAAAATTTTGTTTCAGTTGTGAGATAAGCATTATAAAAGTGGCTTAGAAAAATATTTTATCGATAAAAATAAGGTATTTTTTTCAACTTGAAAATAATAACTATGGACTATTAATACAAATTTTAATTCATATTTTTCCATTAAATCTTGATAAATATGATATAGGTTTCGGAACGTCCAATATATATACCCTTTTTTTGTTAAAAGTAAACACATTGATTGTATGGGTCATTGGCCGAAATATTTAGTCAGATTATCAATCAATTGAATCAAACTATTGGGTAACTTGAGTCAAATTATAATTAAAATTAATTTTTTCAAAACAGTAAGTTATGTTTATACTTCATTTTAATATTAATCTTGATTTCATCTCGCACTTCGGATGATGTGTGTAAAGTGCAATGTATTAACTTCGCTTTCATTTTGTATCGGAGAACAACAAAATGGCGCACGCAAGTTGTATAAAATGGCAGCTTTTCGTATACATATAGTATATCTGCGATGGCTTGATCTTTACGTTTGGGACTTTGGGCCCAAAGTATTCAAATGATATAAAGCATGCTAACTAAATAGTTTTATTTTTTCCGTTACTCCTTAATTAATCGAAACGCCATGTATCAAATAATAGTATTATTACTTTCGGTTCAAGACGATTAAGACATCGAATTATTAACCTAATTTTTTAAATGTTCTACATAAAATCTTTTGACAACGAATTTCCTCGTACTTCTAAGAAAATATATGTAATTATTTCAGCTTCATAGTAATTCAGAGCAAGAAAACAAAGTAACCCACTGCTGAAGTTAAGACATGCAAGTATGTACACAATTAACAAACTTACGTACTGTTACAATGTAGATGGTCTTCAATCAATGATGCACATGTTCTTTGTCTTACAAAAATACGTTATATTTGCGATAAATGCCAGAAACGAAGATACACTGTGATACCCGTTCATCGAGTATCTGCAACACCGCAACCTAAACAAGCGAAGAGCAACGTTGCCACTTTTATTCATGACCGTTAGCATACACGAGACATTCGAAAAAGGTCAAATTTGGAATCGAATCGGTTGCATTTTTGAATTCATTTTCGACCGGTGACATGCATCGTACAATAAGCTATTAACTACAAATTTTATTTTAGAAAACATAATTAAAATTATCGACCTACATACATAGTGTGGTTCGCACTTCAGAAATTTGAGAAGCGCATGCGCTGTAATGCCAAATACCTTCAGAACTTGTAATATTAGCTGTAGTATGCAAAATACTTCTGTTTAGGAACGAAAATACACTTTTCCGATCAAAGTATTTGCAAGCTGCAAACTCTATAGGATCAAATACTATCGATATGTTTTTTGGATACTAAGAGATATTTTTAATCAATAGAAGGTTGCTTCTATTATTTGGTTGTGTTAATAATGATTATACGACGTTGTCTTTATAATTTCACGGCACTATTTGCTACTTATCAATAGAATGTAGGTTAAGAGAAAATATATTAAACTATTGAAATATAGTGTCAGAATGATATATTTGCATGATATTCAAGTAATACTTTTATATAATTTTTTTGTTTATACTTTTAGAACTAAAATTAGATAATTTTGAGTTTTTTGTTTTATATTTTCAAACAGCATCTATTACAAAATCTACACTATAAGTTAAATTAGTTAAAATAATCAGAAGTCAAAACAAATAAACTTAGGTTAACTAATGTATTATTTGTGTAGAGCTATAAGATACATGCTTTTTCTGATTTAATAACTGTAAGTCTGAAATACTTTTTATAGCAAATTTTATTTCCCATCACACATCATTATATTTAAACAAAAGTATAGAGTGTAAAAGTGCTATGTGAGTAAAAGAATACACTGTACTACCTTGTGTGGTGCATTATAGGCATATACACAAGTTAAATACACATAAAGAAAGGTATTGAATATGCATACAAATATTTCTGAACATATGTTCTTTATAATGAGGAATTAAATTAATATAGTTACAAAAAACTCCATTAAAAGTAATAAAAGACAGCATTAAATGTGTAATATGCTATAAATAGAAATAGATGAAGCAAAGCAAAACTTTTGGATGTATATCTACATATAATGGGTCATATAAGTAAGGTATATTTTATATGATAACTAATTCCCATTGATGCATACATTTTTAAATTCATCAGGAGATACAAGAACGTATATATATATCTCAAATAAATTGTGTCTTTTTAGTAATGATGGTTACCATGACAGTGTTTTGCCTGGTTTTGCCATACGGGTGTATTCTGTGATTTCTGTGTAAGGAGTGCTCGTAGGTGGCGACACTTACAATACTCTGTTCTTTCTGAATATATTTGTTGTCTTATAATTCAATCACAACACGAAACATTACAAAACAGAATTAAAGTTTTAATCGGTTGTTAGTAAAATAATTCCATTTCTGAATAAAAATACATAAAAGTACATTTTTTCACACGAATAAAAATTAAAGCATTTATATGTATTATTTAAATATTTATCTATATAGTTGGGTTTTTATTGCTACGAATTCTCCAATTTGAAAAGCAGCTTTACAAAAATATCTACCTTAATATCAGAGAATGGATAGAAATTATCATAGATGACTTTGATTGGTTAATTCTTATGGAGAAGAAAATATAATTCGGCGGCTTTATAAGAATCAACAAATCAAAGTCATGTATGATAATTTCTACCCATCTCTGCTTAATATGTTGTCCAATAAATAAGAATATATTATTCTCTCACTATTAATACCTAAAATTTTATTAAGTAATTTATTCAAAATGTTTAATTGTCTAAGATGTAATTTTTTATTTAATGCGATGTAATGAAGTTAGAATTACAGTATTAGAGAAAATAACAAAATTTACTTTGATATTTTTCAGTGATGTAATGCCAACAAAGCATATCGTAAATTATTAATAGGCATTTATTTTGTAATAATTTCGAAGAAAACCAGATGTATTCATAATTCATAGAAAGCCGGTATAAGGCCCAGATAGAATACACCTGAATACACTCTGCGAGAATGGTGGAAGCGAGTACGATTCTGGAGATATGCGAGAAGAGGATAATACTTGTCTGCTATTTCGAAAACGTTGAACGGAGTTCATAAAATTTTCTGGTAAACGGATAACGAAGGATAAAGTTTTCTACAAAATACTATCGGTCTCATTGGAATCTAATACGCCCGCATGCGTATTAATTACTTCTTTTAGTGAACTCGATCGAAATACATTATCCGACGGGAGAGCACTCTTTGGGCTCCAGAGGAAAGAAAAGTTGTTGTAATGGCTGCCGTGTCATGAAATGAAGGTACCGAGCCAGTTTTGTGGTTCCACGATGGAGGATAACTCCAGTTCTACATCTCAAAACCATAATGGACAAGTGTCTAGCGGTGCGAATGTTTCACTGACAAACAATAAACAACAGGGCAGTGACAACGGTAGCAATGGCGATGCCAAGGATCAAAGACCACAATACTCTATGCCTGGTATTCTACACTTTATTCAGCATGAATGGGCTCGCTTTGAACTTGAAAGATCGCAATGGGAAGTTGACAGAGCAGAATTTCAGGTATAATTTCGATCTCTTTTAGAAACCTTCGATAGTCGTCCGTTTTGTCTCTTCTGTCCATTTCCTTCTTATTGTCACTTCACCTGTCATGTGACGGAAACATTGTAAAAACAATCAATTTTAAACCATGAAATATTGTAATACAATTAATGAATATGTCTAATCATGCTTTTATTAAATACCAAATTAAAACACTTTCATGGAATCATCTCTTCTATTATAATCTTGTAGCTACTAAAATTTGGCATGTTAACTGTCATTGTATAATTATACCAAATTGTATTATTCCAATCAAATTAATTATTATATCTTAGTATATAACTGTAAATTGTGTGTGTTATATGCTTGAATCAATTTTTGAAAAAACTTAATCCACATGAAACTATATAATTGTCCTCTTATATAAAATTTAATACTGTACATATTATTATTCTTGAATATATATTATATTTGTATAAGCATTGTATTGTAAATTATGTTAGGTTCAGAATAAATGATTTTTTTCCAATAGAATATAAAAAAAGATATGAATATATTTTTATGTATTTACATATATAGAATATTTTAATCTAAAATTCGTATTAGCAATAATTGAAGAATTATTTATTCACAGGCTAGGATAGCTTTTTTACAAGGTGAGAGAAAAGGACAGGAGAAGTTAAAAAATGATTTAGTAAGAAGAATAAAAATGTTAGAATATGCACTTAAACAAGAACGGTAAGACGTTTCTTGAACAGTAGTTCTTAAAGAAATGTTGATCTTATTACATATTTTCTATTTAAATGTGTATAATGTACATGTATTCTAATCATTTTTACAGAGCAAGGTATCACAAGCTAAAATATGGAACTGATTTGGTAATTCAGGGAGATATGAAGCCTCCTGTTTATGAAGAAGGTAGTAGTACTTGTGCTAACTCTGAAGTTGGAGGAGATGGTGATGGAGAAGCTCCATTCACTTCTGTCAGCAATATCAGTTGGAGACAAGGTCGTCAAATTTTAAGACAGTAAGTAAAATACATCATTTAGAAATGTTTATGTTTATATAATAATTAATACTATGTATGTACACTGTTGGTACCAATTCACCTATAATCCTTACTTCAGATATTTACAAGAGATTGGTTACACTGATACAATAATAGATGTACGATCAAACAGAGTAAGATCTTTACTTGGTTTAAATAATAATACAGACTCTGAAGATATGAATACTCCTGCATTAAATGGTAATGAACCATCAAATAAACAAGCAACTGAAAATAATAGTCGCAGACTTTCAGGGAAAAGGGTAAGAGTAAATAAGCTCTTGTATGTTAATTTATTGTACATTGTATTTTGTTAAATATTCTTAATTTAACTACGAAATTGTTTCGAGTGATTATGTAAATCTAGTTCCACGAACAGTAAGATATTTTTATGCCAGCAGAACCCATCTTCTATAACGGAATCAATGATATTAGATACTGAAGCAGCTGTTATGGCGAATTTTGAATTCTTGGCTCATACCGGTATGGATATGGAAGAAGAAGAAGGAGATGTAGAAGATGATACTTTCGATACGAACATTGAACCCAAGCCAAATAAAGTAATGAACATGTACTTATTGTATTGATCTTTGCTAAGTACTAACTACTTCCAATAGACTCCTTATTATTTTCAATTTCAGACATCTATGCTCTTAACAGATGATGTTGATGCAGAAGCAGAAGAAGTATTAAATGAATTAAACCTTCTCACAGAAATCGAAGAGTCACCACCAGGTCCTGTTTATTTAGGTATATATACAAATGATTTAAATCAATATTGACATTATGTCAGTATTGAATACATGTATTATCAAAACTAATAAAACAAAAATGATAAAACTTACAGAAGCATTTCATAAAGGTTTACAACCAGACTTAAGATGTCCAAATAAAGAAGGAGATTCCAACTTGGAATTGGGTGAATTAGAACTATTGTGTGTTAATAATGAAGCAGAAACATCATACGATGTGAGTTGCATTGCTTACGTTCCTATCAGTTTACCCTACAGAAATATGTGTGACAGAAGTTTCTTACATTTGTCATCAAGTATTAATATCAGATACTTCTTTATCTAGATGGTAACTACTACAAAGGAAACCTTCAGAAAAACATGGAACGCAAAATATACGTTACGATCTCATTTTGATGCTGTTCGAGCTCTTGTCTTCCATCCCACAGAAGCTGTTCTTATAACTGCAAGTGATGATCATACTCTAAAGCTATGGAACCTTCATAAGACTTTACCCGCAAAGAAGTATATTACTTAATGTTCGATAATAATTTCACTTTCTAATAACATTCAGAAAATTTCTATATCTTATTCTTTCGCTTTCAGATCAGCTTCATTAGACGTGGAACCGTTATATACATTCAGATCACATACTGGTCCAGTTCTATGTTTAGCTATGTGTAGCACTGGTAATCAATGTTTCAGCGGTGGTTTGGACGGTATGATTCATTGTTGGACACTTCCATCAGCTAACATAGATCCATATGATTCCTATGAACCAAGTGTCCTTACTCAAACTTTAAAGGGACACACAAACTCAGTTTGGGGTTTAAGTATGTATCAACCACGATCGCAATTGTTATCGATCAGTTCTGATGGGACTGTAAAATTATGGAGTCCAAATAGCAACTCTCCACTTCTTCATACATACGTCTCTGAGCAAGGTGAGTGATTTTTATTAAGACCATTATTGTTTTCATAAAAGAATCATATTTTACAAAAATTATATGCACACGTATTTCCTTACAGACGGCATACCAACTTCAGTAGATTTCATAAGAGATGAGTCGCATAAATTAGTCGTAGCTTATGAGGGAGCTTGCGTGGTATTTGATACAGAAACTGGAGAGAGTGTAGCTCGCCTCGAAGCCAATGAAACAAAGGGGGTGAATCGTGTTGTCGCTCATCCAACATTACCATTAGTTGTCGCTGCACACGAGGATCGACACATTCGATTTTATGATCATCGATCGGCTACTCTTGCTCACGCCATGGTTGCTCATTTGGATGCAGTTACTAGTCTTGCTGTAGATCCTCACGGTTTATATCTACTTTCAGGAAGTGAGTGATTGTGTAAAGTGTAACAAAACGAACCATGACTATCGATACATTGTTAAATATTTAAAAACGGTTTTGCTTTCAGGTCACGATTGCAGTATAAGATTATGGAATATGGATAATAAGACATGTGTTCAAGAGATAACAGCACATCGTAAGAAGTTTGACGAAAGTATTTTAGACGTAGCATTTCATCCATCGCGACCTTTTATAGCAAGTGCAGGAGCCGATGCTCTTGCGAAAGTGTATGTGTGAGATGTAAATTAAGGTACACCATTTCTACTATCGACATTGCATCAGACGGAAAAGATTTTGTACTCATTCTTTCTAGATAGTTTAACCTGTACGTGTTACACTTCCAATTTTGTTGTAACTTATATTGCTCTACCTTTTGAAGTACCACTTTAGAAGAATCAAATCAGGCATATTAGATATGATAATGTTTATGAGAAATATTGACATTTGCACATAACCCTTATCCGTTACAATTTCTGAAAGGAACAGTAAAAAAAAATTCGAATGCAAAATGCTGCTTACTGATGAAATCTTTATTAAGTAGCCACATAATTTGGAATAGCGGAAGGGGTCTGTCTTGTAGAATACTAGTTAACATAGTTCTGATAATTAGACCAAGGAAATACCCCTACCCAGAATCCAGGAAGCACACTGCCGCAGTAGCATAATATTTATCCCTATGTTAACTATTTATTACCAATATTACAGTTACTGTTGCACAGCTACTGGAGATTAATACGTACTACGCGAGGATAAAACTTGTCCTAAAATAAAATACATCAATTAGTCTCCCATTATATAATTTTTATGCTACCGCATATATTTATCGAGGTCGGCATATAGTAACAACTGGAAAAGCAGCAACAACAACAATAATAATAACCATAAGTTAAATATAATGTAAGACATAATATTAATAACAGTAAATTATAACTGTGTGTTTCTCTGTAATATATTGTATTTAAAAATAGATGAACTGTGTAACGTACTATAATTAACATGTTTTTATTAAAATTTAATTCCATTTTTATTATTTTTTTCCTCTAACGTATATGTGCAATGAACAAAAGTATAAAAAGAATCTAAATAGTATCAAATCTGTAAATATTTACTTTATAATTAGGTCCGTGTATAAAGGTATCATTTGTCGTATTTTCTTAACAGTATCTACCGTGTTTTTTTTACACGACTTACGTTATGTAATGGGATTGAGCAATAAAGAAAGCGACTCATTATTTGCCTTGTACAGTTACGAAAATATATAAAAACACATGCATTATATTTTGACTATAAAAGGTTTAAACAATATTAAAAATCTTTATATCGTGTTAAATTAATTCGTATTACATTCTCAAAATTCCTTTAAAACATATATTTCTGTTCAAATATTATCGTAGTGTGTTCTGTGTGTAACGCCCTTTGACTGTCCAATCAAAACGAGACTGGCACTATCATTCAGGTTAAAGAACATCTATAAACTAGGATCATGCTGATTGATGCTGATCAGCTGTGCAGACGTTCGCAGTGTGAGATCGTAACAAAAATTCTCTCTCGTGACTAGACTTATCAGATTATAAAACAGAATCGTTACAAGAAATATAGATTAAAATATAGCCTATGTTTCTTGAATACTTTAAATATACGTGTATTTTAGAAAGTGGTTACAATTCATTGATGATACTATAGTTCACTTTCGATTAATATTGTGGATTCCTCGTATTTTGAGAATGTACGTACCGTTTCTTTAAGCAAAGGACGGCAACAATAATATTTATTAATTAGACGTGAACGAGATATGTGGTGATTTCTTTATTATGTTCATCAGGCTATATGGTTATGAAGTTTAAGTTGAATCTCGATTTCATGATTACCAAAGGGTGATGTTTGTTGCCCTTCTTAGGCGCCCACGCTATTTTACGAATTAAGAATGGAACGAAATGGCGCGAGAGAAATGGACGAACGAATGTGCATAAGAGACACCGGGAAGATATTAAAGAAATACGGCAGCACAGCCAAACATGTTACACGAACTGAAAACTTGATAAAGCATGCTGTATCAGCGACTGACACTCTTCAAGGAATTGCTCTAAAATATGGAGTTACAGTATGAATTCATTATTCTATTATATATATTGCTGTTTTATATACATATAAGGATAAAAAATATAATTGATTCATATATGTTTCTTTTCCTTTTGTTCTCGTAGACTGAACAAATAAGAAGGGTCAATAGATTATGGGCTTCTGATAGTTTATTCTTAAGGGAGCATTTACTTATTCCTCTTAATTCAGAAAACCCATGGTCATTATCTATTGATGATACCAATGAAAATGAGCATAATGCTATTCAAAGTGTAAATATCCTTTTCAATAAATTAATACCAAAATATTGATTTATCTTATGCAAAAATAAGATATATTTTTTCAGGTTTCTAGTCCATCTTCGATATCATCGTCTATAGATGATGATAGTTCAGTGAACGATTTTTTAGCTAAAATGGATTCTTCGATAGCCAATGCTAAGAGAAAAGTGAAACATACTCAGGGGAATAGTGAGTAAGTTGTTTATCAATAATTAATGGATATAGAATACATTTATATGAATGAATAGATAAGACATAACAATAAAAATAAATAAATAAATATAACAAACAAATTTGTTAATCCATTGTACTTTCTACATTGCACTTTAGATTTTGCACCGAGGATACTGATATCTATGTACAGCGACATAGAGTGCCTACTAAATTACGTAACTCGTTTCCTATGACTTCAAATACACATACAATATCGTCATCTACTTCAGAGCCATTAAGACCATCGTCTTCTAGTGATATGCATAACTTTCCAACTGCTGTAGTAATGACTCAGGGTAGAAAAGTGAAAACATCATTGCAAAGACTTCAACAACAACAAGATGAAATATTCCAATTGTAGCAATTGAATGTTATTGGACTGTAATATGTTCAAAATTGACAGTCATTAAAGAGCTTGAAGGAAAAAAAAAATATATTGGATACTGAATAGCATATTGGAAATAATAGAAGATTATTTCATGTACAAAATTGGTTGATCCAGTATTAATGTAAGTTGTACTCGTTTCTTCTTATAAATTGTCTGTGTTACTTTATCCTCAAAATGAAAGTTTTTGTAAAAAAAATAATGCTGACCATTTCTATTCTTGTAGTCTCAGTACTATCAACAGTGGATCAACTAGCATTCATATTGTCCAAACATATTTTTGAAATATTTTAAATAATATTTCTTAGTGGACCATATGTGCCTTTAACTCGAATCAATTTTGCAATAATTCTGGCATTGTCTTTTTTCGTTATCTATGAAAGATTATTTTTTATAAAAGCAAATGCTTTTTGTTTAATATTGATTTTATAGACAAAAATATGCAGCATCATATTCTTACATTTTTTATAAATGCTACAATCAATTGCTACTAATCCAATGAATTTTTTTCTGCCAAAATTATCCTGTAAACTTACTTATAGGAACTATAATTTAATATATTAATTATAATCGAATCTTAATATTCTATCATACGAGTCCATTTTTTCTGGTCTTCCTACTAGAATGCTCTTAATATTATTTCTTTATATTATTTATTTTATTCCTGAGAAAGTGGAATGCTAATTTAGAAAAATAAATACAGCTTGAATGATAAACCCCTTGTTCAACTTGGTAGTAATAAAACCATTGAAATTCGTCCACTTGATTCTTTAAAGTACTTAAAATGTTTATACAAGTTTTTTATATAAAGTTAATACATTCATATGTGAATATTCATAAGTAAGATTAAAATTTCAAAGGTTATTGCAATTAATATTACTATTCAGTTCTCGGTTAACATTTTGATAAATGATTTTGTAACTCAATGTTAACAGTCGTCATAACAGAGTTTCATATATTAGAAAATTGATATACATTGCACAAACTATTTTAATATAAATCGTATCCTAAAATATTTAGGAAATTAATTTTTTGTAATTTTAAAAAATAATTTTTTTATTTCGGAGGTTAATAACAGTCTTTTAAATATATGGTTAATTTCATGAAAACGTTGATATAGTTTTCTAGAATAAATATATGATGACATTAAATTACTTGTAATTATTTTTATTTTGAATTATATGAATCTACTGTTATTGCCGTTAATAAAAATTTTATGCAAGAAAATACAGTACCTGTTAATGTTGTCTATATTTAATATATTTTCGTTGTTATGTCATGAATGTTACTTACTGATATTATGCATTAACTGTTTTATTATTGTTATATTGCGTACATTATAGTACCTATGTATTTTTGAATGCAGCTGCAGCATGCTACAATAGAGAATTGAAATATTAAGTTCAATATAAATAAATGATAAATTTATTCTAAATCACCTTGAAGTAAGTAGGAAAGAGAAGGAACTTTAAAGTTTATATTAGACACAACGCAATTTGGTCTAACTTATTTTTACACTTTGTTATGAATTCATAACAATTAATTTAAGTCAGTTTTAATGCTGTGCATTAACAATTAATTGTAAATAGATTAAGTAGAAAATCTTTTGTGTGTATGATATAGATTTCCAATTGTATTGTAGCATAAGGTAGCAATTGTTGAGTATATAAAATATATACAATCAACTTTTATAATAGTATTTATAAATATATATATATTAAATATCATATAAAAGAAATGATCTATACTTATAGTCGTAAGACAATTTTTAGCTTACTATATGTATTTATTGTCAGAATAGGTGTTTTGAACCTAATGTCTTTCTTATAAGTTTCATATTCGTTTTGTGCAGTAAAAATATACGAACATAGAGGAATATAAAATACCAAATAAAATAGAGAGCTCATAAACAAAAACCAATTATTATTTCTATTTAATGTTGTATAGATATAACACCTATCGGGATACCAGAATTAAGACACTTAGTTTCTTTATATTACTTAGTTATATGATTTGGTTGTTGTATACTCAGAACTTTAAATTTCATTATTCTTGTGTACTGTAGGCACGTGATTATGTAAAATGTCTACTTTGTTGTTAGTTATCCTAATAGGGGGTGTTATAAATTCAGTGCAATCACATTTCAATTCATTTACAAAGTTAAACGAACCTATACGATTATTACATTGGGGACAATGTAGTCTACCCTTTGTCCAAGATTCCTGTAACAAACGCACATTGCATTATATGGACATTACTTAAAAGTTTTAGAATTTATATATCATTTTCATTGAAAGAACATTTATTTTTTTCATAGTATAACATATCTGTATCATGGAACCGTTTATAATTGCATATTTGTAAATACTCATGGACACTTTACTTGAATTATAATCTGTTTTATCCATTCAGGCATGTTTTCAGCTGATACATATGAACAAGAATCTAAGCCATTTGTACCACATCCCAGATGCATAGGATTCTGTTTTATTTCACCGTGAGAAGTTAATAACTGTATTGGTTCTTGGTTGGACAGATTCATCCTACAATATTTGCACTTCACTTCCATTGCCTATAAAATTATATAGCATTATTGCATAACCTATATAAAAAATATACATTAATTGGATGCGTATATACATATATACAATGTATAAGAAGTTTACACATATAAGAAAGAATTATAGTATTAATGACAGTCTCGAACTAAATACATACTGAATAAATACGAGTGATATAGATTATAACCTAAAATTTAATGCACTTTTTAAATACAATTTATTATAAATTACATGCAACCATTACAAGCAACGTTGCTACGTGTAATTTTCCGTGAAAATAATCTTGTTTTATTGAGTGAAACCAGAAATCAAATTAAAAATTTACACTCTGTACAAATTCCTACATAAAGGTTAATATATATAGGTGTATACAATGATACAAAAAAGTAACAAATAATGATTTCATATAGGTAGTCTGTATATTTTAAAATTAAATGCATGTCACAAAATTAAATTATTACGATTTCTATACTAATTTTTATGTTGCAATAAAAGATATGTCACTTTCAAAAAAATAGTTTGTAAGCAGTTTGATTTTACTTTTTTTTAATTGATTTACTTTCAATTTATGTATCACATATATTATTCCTACACTGTAGATCTTACGCATTGAAACCAGACATGAATATGCAAAACACAATAGAATAAAAAGATTAATGACCTTTTATAAATTTTACATTATACTACTAAGTTCACTGACTTAGTAGATTATGTAACAAAAATGTGTATTTAATTGTGGTTTCAATAGATTAGACTATAAAAATTATAATTTGCATACACTTCCTCAGCTTAACTATTACAATTATTAATTATAACGATAAGCTACTTAATGAAGTAGTTTAGGTTCACCACAATAATGTATACCTTGAATGCAATGAAGTTATTTAATCTTCACCTGCTGGAATGGCATCTTCCAGTCTTTTAATGAACTTAACACGCAATTCATTTACATTATCATTCTTAAGTTGATCTTGTACAAACCAACAAGCAATCTCCATTTGTACCATTTCACAAGCTCCTCTTAGAACTCCAATTAGTATATTACAATACTTTAGATTTAAACAGTGATCTGGTAATTCTACAAATTCCGTCAATGGATTTGCTTCGAAGCATAAAGAAAATTCATCTCCAGCGGCACTCCAGTTCGCAATTGTTGGAGTAATACCTAAGAATATTTTGAATCCAGTTTGTATTTTTTCAGCTGTATCTCTGAAATCGTAACATCGACCTGATCCAGTACGTGCTAAGAAATCTTCTATCAAACGGATTCCCATATTATAGCCCATCCTTTCTAACTGTTTATTGACATCCTCTACATTTTCATAATCCTTTAATAACTGAGCTACTAGTGCACCATAAGTTAATGTGAACAATTCCGAATTCTGAAATTATAATTTTAGTTAAACAATTTGCAATAAAATAAGGCCGTTATACAAATATTACGATTTAACATAACCTTGCTCTCATTCGAATTACATTTTCTAATAGTTATCGAATAACACAACATAATTTACAGATCTAACATCTAATTAAATTACACATATTTGTAATGTATACGTATAATGTACTTACAACTTTCTTGGAGTCGAGTTTTGTGCCTGCTCGTGACATGTTTACAAATATGGACCACCTACCAGGCTTGGTACTTAGTATAGTATGTATGCATATGTATACCTATTGATACATATATATGTATGACATGTATGTCATGCATTTCACGATACGACTGACTGTATATCATTATTATAATACTTTTATTTGTTTATTCTAATGTACTTTTGCGATACTAACGTAATTATAGATATATTATATATATGGCATTATTTTCATGAGTGAATCACACAATTAATATATCAATAAAAATTTATTCAAACACCATTTAATACAAAACTTATCAACTCTGGTACTTTCATAATATCATATAGTTTATAAATAATTCATTAGAATCTTTGAGCAAGATTGCAAAATCCTTCATTTTAATTATACAGAAGAAGATATAAATTATTAACAGTTTGTTCATAATATGTTTATGTATATATTTTACATATCTGCGTATGATTCATGATGAAACTGAAAACTTAACATAGGACGGAGTCCTTAAACTGATCTTTGGGCAATTTTACGTCTTTTTTTGTGTTGAAGTTAGTATTCAAAAATCTCCCATGGCTGCTATAATATTGTATAATGCTGTCCTTGCGTCACTCTTTTCAAATACACTCAAAACTTCCATTGCCCTTTGCGAATGTCTTTTTTGCAACTGCTTCGTTAATTCAACACCTGGTCCCATCAAAATAATCTCGCGAACCTGTATGTTGATTATTTACAATTACAGACACCATAGAATATACTGTGTAAAAATTAAGATTTAATGTATCTACCTTTGTGTAATCTACATTGTTTACAGAGTCTAAACCTCTATCGATTTCAGTCAAAATTGATGGGTCATGTTCTATATGAAACATAACTGGTGCTGAACACAGATTGAATGTTACACTTTGATCTTTTGTAATAAATGGACCCAAGTCCAAACAAGCTTGCCAAGCTAATGCTAAATGTTTTCCAAAGTTGTAACCCTGTTCCTGTATTTCATTGCTGTGCCCAGCGAGTTTCAATGTACCTTTGCACGATTTTCCAAGTAATGCACCAGCACTTAGTACATTTCTTAGAGTCCATTCTTCCACTGCATAATCTGTACAATCTTTGGATGGTACAGAAGGCAAAGGATTATTTTGACTATCTCTACGTCCTATAAATTCTGCTTCAGCCAAGTCTCTTACTGCACTTGACATTAATTCTACAATCTAAATAACATTACATTTATAATATAAAACGTAAGTAGTAAAAAATAATAAAATACAGCATTCATTCCTCATACTTCCTGGTTACGAAGATTTGCTAATTCAGCACAAGAATTGGCTAGTAAATAATCTCCGCTCAATAATGCAATCTTATTACCAACATTCATGTCATTTAATTCTGAAGTTTCTAAATGAGCACCTGATCCTATATTTATCAATCCTTTATGTACAAGATGACTAGTACGTATCATTTCAGTGACTTCTGCCAGTGCTCGCTGACTAAAAAACAATTCAGTAAACACAGTGTCTTTTTCCTGGTATTTTGTTATAAATTTTAATGTTGTACCTATGTAGAACACCAGCAGCCTTATCTTCCTCCATGTCATCTACATTTAAATGTCCAGCAGCTTTAGAGATCAATAGTACAATAAGACCCCATGCTTGCATATGATTGCGTCCATTAAAGATCACACTCCTATATTAATTAAATACAACTGCTATAGTAACTGATACATACAAATGTAAATAATAATAAATTTATAAGTAGAAAACGAATCTTTTACAGAAATTCAAATTACTATAGACTATTTCAAGACACAGGGATGAATCAGAAATCTATTATTTCTATTAAGAGTCCAGGCTGTATTAAAGATACAATAAAAGGTTTATTAAACTTCATTGAAACTTTTATTGTATTATGTTTTGCATTCACATTTACTATAAATCTATAAATATTCACAGCCTATTTATAATCATTTATACTCACTTAGCTGTTTTCAATAAAGGATGATTAGATCCTACTAATTTCCTCAGGTGGAGTGCTACATTTGCAATTTCATCGCTTAGAAGCCATCGCAAACTTAGAAACGATGTGGGATATCCAACAATTTTCTCTGCTTCTGAAACAGCTCTGTTCCAGTCTGGCTTCTGATTTCCAGCAAGTTTCGCTTCTACCTTATTGAATTGCTGTAAACGGAATCGATTTTCCGTGGAAGCATGCAGATTTCTGTGTGTTTCACAGTATACTCTGTGATCACTGCATAAAATCAACCTGGCTACACTCCCGTTTCTCAGGAAAGTACAGGCAACTTTGTTCGTAGACATTTTTCTACTGTACACACCCGTGGACTTCGTTTTCTCTCAACATTAACATTAGTGACGCATTCAACAGGTATATCGCACATGATTGACGTTTCAAAACTTTCACTTTTGACCTTATTTTCTGAAGAAAGTGTATGGTCCAACTTCAATAGAAATGTTATTTCTTTGTGTCATAATGATTTTTCGAAGGTATGTACCCTCTATTTACATACCTACCTTTGTATGTAACATTTTATTCTTTTTATTAATCGAAGAGCTAACGCGAGTATCTTTTTTTCTTAAGTAAAAAGGTAAAAAGAAACTGAATACATGAACGGCATTAACAAACAGGAGAATGCAGTTTACGAAGATAACTATCGTTCATCCCTACCATAAACAAAGAGGAGATTGGAGGAGATCAAGAGGAGATCACCTGGTTGCCCATGTTTGCCGTAAGACCAAGCAATCTATTATCTATTATATATATCTTATAAGTTTAAGCACAATTCTCATTTCCCTAGTAATATACTACTATCACTGACTAGGTGTAGAATAGACCTATCATCCAATGCTTTTTTCTATCCCACGTTCATAGGGCTACGTAATCCTCTTACCATTTTAGTGTCAATACCCGACGTTACCGATAAAGCATGAATTCTGAGTATTATTAGCACAAATGAAGTGTTATATTTTCCATTCATATTCCGAGTATCTATATGATTTGACGGGAATAAAAATATCCGATGCTTCAGTTTAAGGTTAAGGGATAAATATGACAGTCATGAAACATGAAACGGAAAAGTATATATTTTTTCACTTAACTACAAGGCAATTTATCTAAATGCATCGTTAATGGACATTTTATTCATGTTACTTTTTACTTTTAGATGTAGAACTTGTGATTCCATCTATCTGCCTTGGGCCTCCACTCGCAGCAACCTCCTCGTGGTGAGGCCTGGGCAATCGGTATTATCATCGGTAAAGGACTGTAAACTGAAGACAATACCGAGCTAATGGCTGCGAACTTCGAATCTATCTCATAAAACCACGTTCTATATTACATCGAACTAGGATTATTTTAGAAATCGATATGAGATTCAAGGTGTAAGAATGTCTAGTACTTTGAATGTTTTAGAAAATTATTCGAGATAAAGATGTATGGAACTACTGACAATTACTTTAGATTGGTTTTCCTTATTCTGTAAATTCTTTGGTTGGTATATGAATGCTGCTGGAAGTATGAACATTTTTACAGGACAATGATATAAATGGAACTTTAACACTTTTTTGCGAGAATGTCTTACCGTAATGAGCCATCTCGTAGCCGCGGGATTCCGGGAATCGGGTGACGTCACGGCGTGCGAGCGAGAGCGGTAGAGTGAGCCGCGGTATCGGTGCTCTCCGTCGGTGTTGACGCGTGCAGAGGAATTTCAGTGGTCTATGGGGGGAGGAGTGCGAGCGAGAGAGTACGGTAGAGAGTGCCGCGTATCGGTTCTCTCCGTCAGTCCAACGCACTAGTAACGTTGCGTCACACAGTTTATTGACTTAGCCGTGTACGCCGTGTACCAAGGTCGTACCATCCCGTGCAGGTCTGTGCTTGCTTCCTCACTTT